TTATGGTCTCTTTAGGGTATATTCCCAGAAATGGAATTGCTGGGTCAAATGGTATCTCTATTTGCAACTTTTTGAGAAAGCGCCACATCGCTTTCCACAGTGGTTGCACCATTTTACACTCCCACTAATCGTGAATAAGGGTTCCAGTCTCTCCACAACCTCGCCAGCATTTGTTGCTTGCTGTTCTGTTAAATTTTGCTAGTCTTACTGGGGTGAGATGATATCTCATAGTTGTCTTGATTTGCATCTCGCTGAGAAGATTATTTGAGAAGCTGGACTCTATAAAAGAAGAATGCGGCATAAGCGGTGGAGGAAGACTCACCAGTAACCTTCATTATGCTGATGACATAACCCTGCTTGCTTAAAGTGCGGAGGACTTAAAGCACTTGTTGCAGAAGGTCAAAGACTGCAGTCTTCAATATGAATTGCATCTCAAAGCCAAGAAAGCAAAAATCCTAGCCACTGGACCAATAGGCAACATCATGATAGGTGGGGAAAAGTCAAGGACTTCATCTTAGTACACTTGGTACTAGCAGACAGGAAACCTATTACATAGGGAAAGTCTAGTCAGGGACCTTTCCAAATTATTGAGGAGCAATGATGTCAGCTTGAGGACCAACGAATGCTTGATTCAGGACTTTCAGACACTTGCTGTGCATCTGAGAGCTGGAGAGTGACTAAGAATGACAGAAGAGTGCATCATTTGAATTGTAGTGTTGGAGAAGAGTGCTGAATATCCCATGGACTGCCAAAAGAATAAACACATATGTCTTAGAGAATGTACAGCCAGTGTTCCTTGAAAGCACATATGATGAAGCTTTGTCTCGCATACTTTGGGCATGTTGCTAGGAGAGGATAGTCCTTGGAGAAAGTCATCATGCTTGGGAAAGAGGAGGAATGACAAAGGATAGGAAAACTTTCAACCAGGTGGATTGGCACAATGACTGCAGCAATGGGCTTGAAGGTGTCAGATATCGTGAGAATGGCCCAGGATATGGTTCACATCTGTTGTTCATAGAGTTGCTGAGTTGTGCTTGACTCAATGGCATCTAACAACAGCATGCCCAAAGTCTGTGTGATGAAACTTGACCATCCTTGCTATGATGTTAGAAGTTGATTGTTCAAAAATGGTTTTTCTAACCATTAACTTTGACTCTGCCATAAAGATGGGCAGCATGCATGAATAGGGCATATTAGTCTCTCCAGAAGGAGATTGGTTAGTTTTGGCATTAAGTTGAGCAGACTCAGCAGCAGAACTTGAGAATCTATTGACCAGCAAAGAAGAAACAGAGAATGCAGAGTGTGAGTCAGTCAGGACCAAAGATTCTGCACTACTCAGAGCAGGGTCTACAGGAGTAGCAGCCACGATAGCATAGAACCAGAGACCTGATATGAACATAGCTGACCTTGGGACTGTTAACCCATGGAAGCAGAGCTAAGAGCCTTTGCCCAAGCTTGCTGGTGGTCTTAGAGGAGAGCCATAACTGGCAGGACCAGGAAATTAAAAGACAGTGAAATGGGAAAGTCTGCTGTTAGAGACCTCTCCAAAGTACTGAAGAGCAATCATGTCACTCTGGAGATTAAGGTGCACCTGATACAGGCCATGGTCTTTGCATTTGTTTCTATGGGTCAGAGAGCTGAACAATGACTAGGAAAGATAGAAGGAGAATTGATGCCTTTGAGCTGCGGTGCTGGAGAAGAGTATTGAATATACCATAGATTGTTAGGAAAATGAACAGGTTCATCCTAGAGAGGGTTAAATCAGGCTGCTCCTTGGAGGAAAGGATTCTGAAACTTCATCTGACATACTTTCGACAAGTTGCAGTGAGGGACTGGTCCTTGGAGAAGGACGTCATGCTTGGGAAGGTGGAGGGACAGCACAAGAGAGGAAGACCATCTATGAGATGGATTAATAGCAGACTGACGTCACTGCAGGCACAGTTCAGTAGTTGTCCTGACTGATTATATCCTGTTACCAACCTGAATTATAACCTTTGGACTTCCTTAATAAACCTTACAATTGTAAATAGGGATCCATGTACTCTGTGAGTTAGTGCTATGGATTTCAAACTCAGTAGAATTATGGGTTGGTTCCAATTTGACAATACAAAAAAAGAACAGCAGGTGCCTTAACAGAAGTAGACTGCTTCCTCTTTCTTCCAGGAAGCAGCTAGTAGATCCAAACCACTGACCTTTTGGTTAGTAGTTCAGCACATACTCTGCAAAATACCACCTCTCATTCCTTTATGCCATTATCAGGGTTCAAGTTACCCATTAGTCTATTGTGTTCATTGTCTGTAATTCACAATATATTTCCCCAGAGATACTATTTCAGATGTAAACCAAAAAGAGCTATTAAACATTTAACTTCCTGAAGCTGATATTTTATCAACTACCTCTAGCCTCCATTGATAATATTGTTACTTTTAAGGGAAAAAATAGCATTCAATCTATTTATTTTTCAGAGAATTGCCTTTTCTTTGAGTTGCACCACAATTAAATTCTGCCAAAAGAATGAAAATTCAAAGGCAAGTTCTCTTTCACATTGAAGTGTGAATCATTCATTGCCCAGATTGTTGGACAAAGAAGAGTTGCTGTTGACGTGAGGGCTTTAGTTTGAAATTATTAAAGGTTATATAATGAGATTAAATTGGTGAATCAGACGTTATCTATTTTGTAATTGTACTTGACACTAATCTTTAAATAAATAAATTTTAAATAAGTAAAATGTCATGCCGTCAGAAGTTACTAAGTAGAATAGAGTTTAAGAAAATAACTATTTTTTATTTTCAAAGGTAGCTGAAGCCATACTGTTTTGTAGAAATAATGGAGAACAGAAAAGACATTGAAAGCCAAGAAGAATTTTGGACAATGAAGCCTTGGGGAACTCCAGAAGATGATCATTTGGTAAAATAATTAGTAATTAATATGCATAATTATAATGCAAATGCTTGGAAGCGGGAGTGGCATCCACTTCCTAAATAACATGTCTCAAGAAACTCTATGAACTTTGATAAATGTCGATAGTTGTAGAGGGGCTTCCAAGACTTTTGTTCATAGTGTCACTATGAGTTGTGCTCGACTCAAAGGCAATCAACAACAATGCAAATGCCATTCTGTATCTTCTGTTGTTGTGTCCTGTCAAGTTGAAATTGACCCACAGCTGACCTTCTGGTGGGTTTTCAAAGACAGTTAATCACTAGGACGGAGAGTGCCCATCCTTCTCCCATAGGACAGCTGGTGAATTTGAACCCTGTGCCTTTGGGCATGCAACACAGCTTCTTGCCAATAGGCCACCAGTGCTCCCTCTGTATCTTCTAGTGTTCTCACAATTAGACTTAGCGTTCTGGTGCCATACTCCCAATTCCTGTCACTGATAGTGAAGTGAGTGAGATGTGTTATATGAGAAGCAGAGTATCAGATTCATTCAACGGCTTAGCCAAATGACCTTAAATAAATCACTGATAATCCCAGGTCTCAATTTATCCATGAAGTGAGAGTTAGATCAGATGATCCCAAGGCCATTCTAATTCCTTCCAACAAACTGTGGCTGTAAGTTTTGGGAGGGGAAAATATATCCATATAAAAGTAATCACCCTGGAGGTGTTTCTAGGAGATCATAGAAAATTGATGAATCATTTTTTAACCAAACAATTCACTTGTGAAATAAGAATCACTTACCCCACTTTGCCCCACCCAAGAATTACATATTTTTTTACTACATTATTTGACTGTTGGATGGTAGCAAGGATTCTGAAACTTCATCTGACATACGTTGGCTATGTTGCAAGGAGGGACCAGTCCTTGGAGAGGGATGTCATGCTTGGGAAGGTGGAGGGACAGCACAAGAGAGGAAGACCATCTATGAGATGGATTAATTCAATGACTGGAATAATGGGGGTAGATGTGTCAGAGACAATAGAAAAGGCACAGGATAGAGCAGGGTTTAGAGCTGTTGTACTTAGTGTCACTATGACTCGCAGACAACTCGATGGCACATAACAACAACAGATGGTAGCAATGTTTGCTTCTAAACTTTTTTTTACTTTCCTAAATTATTTGACCTGCAGTTTTAACAGAAATTCTTTGGTCACAATTATCTTAATAGGCAAAATAAATTATAAACGTGTACTTTATAATAATATCACTTCCAAGTTAACCACCTTACCTACTGTTTATGGCCCTTCAGCCCTAGCCAAAATTTGATCTCCAACTGATTATTATATCAGTAAGCTTGCTTTAACAAAGTACCAAGATGATGGGACACTGTATCAGGCTCATCAATTCCCTTCTAGATGAGTAATCCTGAGGGGGAAAAAAGTATTCAATACAATATATTACGCAGAGTAAAATTCAAATAACAAAGTCATTTTTAAACACTAAAAATTATAGACCACTATGTGAATTAAAAGCTATGTACATAAAATGAGAAAGGAGCCTCATAATCACTAGCATCATTATAAGTCTTAGAATGTCCTGGTGCCACATACAGAAGAGCTAAAAGTAATGAGGAAAACTTTACAAAGAAAGTAAATTTAGTCATAAAGTAGCATATTTGAAAGATTGTTCTTTAAGCTCTTACTTTGAAGTTTGAAAAGTGCTTGTTTGGGGATTTTATTTTTGTAGTGGTTTTGTGTTTTGGGGTTTGTTTTACACTGATCTATCCATCAGTTAGAGAGCTCTGACAGTGTAGACCATAGGGAGATGTGCTGCTAACACAAAGGTGGTGCCTTTCTGCTGGTTCAAATCCACCAGCAGCTCTGAAGGAGAAACGTGGGCTGACTCTTCTCAAACACCTGCATGATGGAAATTAGATACTTCTAATTGTAATAATGACTGTTATTCCTCACTCTTTATACTTAAGATTAATTCACTTTTCAGTGTTTTCAAATAACCAATTAAAACTATCGTATATGAAACAAACTGTCACAGCCTGTAAGTTTTATTATTTTTTCCAGGTTTAATGAATTGTTTTCCTTTCTTCTTGACAAGTGATTCTTATTTCACAAATGAAGTTGTTTGGCTAAGCAATGATTCATCAATATATTTGCTTCAGGACTTCAGACTGGTTCAATCCAGTTTGACCACCTGCTGAGAATTTGCTCTTATTAAAATGTGAACTTTTGAGTCATTTTTATTTGGGATGGGAATGAAAATTTTCATTAAGGGGTGGAACTTGGAATGAAGTTATTTGAAATGTTGATTTGCTTGATACCCTCTTGATAACCTTGCCTGACATGTCCAGCCCCATCCCCCTCCACAAAAAAGAAATGAAAAGACCAAAGCTACAGCCCTGCTGAGTCCCTTCTGATCCATGGCAACCCTCCACTGCAATTCTAGGACTATGAATCTTGACAGAATGAGACTGCCTTCTCAACCTTTCAGTCAGTTAACATTATACACTATGCTACAGGGGCTTCTTACATTATCAAATGGGACAGGGCAGGGGACAGGCTGAAATGTTTGTTTTTACAATTTTCAGTTGCATTATTATTAGAATTATTTTGTGCCTTCAAAAGAAAAACACATAGTCTAAGCTTTGATAGAAGAACTGATTGATGCCTTTGAGCCGTGGTGCTGGAGAAGAGTATTGAATAAACTATGGACTGCTAGGAGAACAAACAGGTTCGTCCTAAAGAGGGTGAAACTGTTACTGAACGCAAGGGGCTCTTTCCATATTCAGTTACCAATAAGACAAACGGAATGCAATATCCATAAATGCACTTTATTACAGATCTGTGGAGGACGGTGGGTCCCGGCCTCACTGCCTCCCCGTCTGGGAGTGGTCATGGTCTTACATACTAGGGTATCCAGGTCATTTAACAATACACTTCAGTTAGTTAAAAAAGGTAATTTCTACATCTCAAAAGGACAGTTCCTATCTATGTATCAGTAATTCAGGAAGGCCCCAGTTCTCTTCCTGGTAAACAGGCAGATTAAGATACAGTTTACATATGACTGGAGAACCAGCTTCACCAGCATCTGGGATAGATGCATTTCCT